TAAATTAATCAAATTTTTTTAAAAAAATCTCTAAACTTTAAAAATATATTAAAAGTTGCTCAACTTGTCGATTCCAATTGGTTTCTTTCAGTAAAGGCTCAATTTATAAAGCACTGATTTTTTGGTAAAAAAAAAAAATCCAATAATTTTAACAAAATATTAAAAATAGCCTAATTTCTTCGTCACATGCCATGCATGTCTTTTGTAGTGCTTTAACGACAACATCAAATATTTTTAATAGATGACGTTATAAATATTAAGGTTTAAAGTATGAAAAGGCAAGTAGAGATAATTGAAAGAAAGATATTTTATTATAATTTAAATATGTGTAAAGAATTACATGCAATACCCTTTATATAGGTTATAAAGTAAACTATGTAAAGAAATAAATCATTACATTAATATATCTAAATACAATCTATCCATTAATCTCATAATCAAATATATTATTTGATTAGTTAATCAGTGATATGATTGAATATTCCTAATTAATTCCTTAACAATAAGGAGGATTAATCTAATTTTCATAGATTGTGGAATTTGAGGGCTTAAATGCGTGTTTTATAATTTGGGGTCTTACACGTCAAATATGGGATAAGGTTGAGGGCTTAACATTAGGTTTTGTCCTAAAAAGGAAAGGGATCATAGGGATATTCTCTCGTTCTCACAAACCACAAGCTCAGTTTATTGTGTGCCATTACAGCTGCCGCAAGTTTCCAAATAATACCAGGAGCTCCCACAGGCACAGTCCCTTGGCTATAACAAAACCCTTCTTTCCTTCTTCTCCTAATACACTGAAAAATTCCTAACTCTCTTAAAAACCTTCCAAAATCTCATATTTTTAGGTAACCCATGTGATGGAATCCTTCAGAATCAGCATATACTCTGTTCTTTCATGGATTCCTTTACAGACCTGTGAATGTTGAAGAGAGAGAGAGAGAGAGAGAGAGAGAAAAGAAAAAGAAAAAAACAGGGGAGGATCGTTGAGGGAGAAAGAAAAAGAAGATTGAGGAGAGGAAGTTATGGAGGAGAGGCATATTTTGTTTGGGAAATATGAGATGGGGAGGTTGTTGGGGAAAGGGACTTTTGCGAAAGTGTACTACGGGAAGCACATGGTTTCCGGCGAGAGCGTGGCGATTAAAGTTATCAGTAAAGATCAGGTGAAGAAAGAAGGGATGATGGAGCAGATCGAGCGGGAGATCTCCATCATGCACCTTGTCCGCCACCCCAACGTCGTCGAACTCAAGGAGGTCTTGGCTACAAAAACCAAGATCTTCTTTATTATGGAGTATGTTCGCGGCGGGGAGCTGTTTGGGAAAGTTGTCAAGGGGAAGCTGAAGGAGGATCTTGCCCGGAGGTATTTTCAGCAATTGATTAGCGCGGTGGATTTTTGTCACAGTCGTGGGGTTTCCCACCGGGATTTGAAACCGGAGAATTTGCTTTTGGACGAAAACGAAGACCTTAAAATCTCCGATTTTGGGTTGTCCGCGTTGCCGGAGCAGCTGCGGAATGATGGGCTCCTTCACACCCAGTGTGGAACTCCGGCTTATGTTGCGCCAGAGGTTCTTAGGAAGAAAGGGTATGACGGATCCAAGGCGGACATTTGGTCTTGTGGGGTGATTCTATACGTGCTTCTCGCTGGATTTCTGCCATTTCAAGACGAGAATCTGATGAATATGTACCGGAAAATTTTCAAGGCCGAATTTGAGTACCCACCATGGTTTTCAACGGAATCGAAGCGATTGGTTTCCAAACTTTTAGTGGCCAACCCAGAAAAAAGAATCACAATTCCAGCGATAATGCGTGTCCCCTGGTTTAGAAAAGGGTTCACACGTCCAGTGAAACTTTCAATCCAAGAACCGGTACCGGAAAATACAGAGGATAACGGTGACTCTGTTTCCAAAACCCACAAATCCTCGTCGCCAAAATTCTTTAACGCGTTTGAATTCATATCCTCCATGTCATCAGGGTTCGATTTATCCAGCCTCTTTGAATCAAAAAGAAAATCGGGGTCGATGTTCACTTCCCGATGTTCGGCGAACACTATAATGTCGAGAATCGAAGGAGTCGCGAAAGCGATGAACTTTAACGTGGGGAATGTGAAGGACTTCAAGATGAGGTTACAGGGGACGTCGGAAGGGAGGAAAGGGCGGTTGTCCGTGACGGCAGAGGTTTTCGAGGTGGCGCCACAAGTAGCGGTGGTGGAATTCTCCAAGTCCTCCGGCGACACCTTGGAGTACGTGAAGTTTTGCGTGGAAGATGTTCGGCCGGCACTAAAAGACATTGTGTGGACATGGCAAGGCGACGATTTCAACAACTGCAGCAACGCTAAAGTTGAAGAAGAAAAACTGTGAAGAACCAAAGTACTGACCCTTACTAGGGTTTCTTTACTTGTCTTCTTCTTGTTTTTTATTTTTGGAAAATATAGCTTTGAGGACAAAAATTTGTAAATATATGCGGATCGGTACATTAATGAAATGGGCATGGGATCTTTGCTTATGCTTATTTTATTTTATTTTTTTGTGTGTGTGCAGGTGTTGGATCACATTTTATATAGATGAACCTCACTTAATGAAAAAGAGAAAATCATGAGGTTTTGATAATTAAAATGTCAGCTTCTTATTATTATTTTTGTTATTTTTGAATTATTAAAATATTTTAATTTTCTGCAATTCTTGCAATCTCAATCTTAATAGAAAATTGTTTTGTTGAATATGATAATCTTTTCACTCTATAATATGAGTCTGCCCAATGATTAATTAACAAGAGTAACTGAGGCACGGGTGATCTTAAGTTCTAACGTTATATATATAAGGGACAAATTAATTCAATTACAAGCCTTCTACTGGTTAAAAGGCAGGAGGGGAGGTTGTTTTTTCTCTCTCTCAGATTGGATTCTCAACCTGGTTGACTGTTTGAAGATGAATTGCAGCAAGAAAAACAAGACGACACTTGATCTAAAATAATATAGGTACGACTGAGGGCCTAAAAGCTCAATTCTTACGCTAGCATAGGTGTAAGAGGGTATATGTGCATACAAACACCAGATTTTGTAAAGGGTTTAGGTACCCACCCCAATAATTAAAGTCTTTTGCCTTTCAAAAAAGATATAAGGAACAAATTAATCAGGATGAGAAAAAAGTTTGGGAAATGTAGCTATCATTTAATTAAGTAGTAGTTGGTTGCCTTGCTTTGAATATGGAAATGAGTAGCAAATAATAGAATAAGAAGTAGCTCTCCTTTCATTGTCATGCTCATTGTCAAGCATCATTTTTCATCCATCTTTGTTGGAGAAAATATTCAACTACCCAACTATCACCAAAACAAAATTAGTTGAAAGAGAGTGAAAGAGAAAAAGGATTTTAGATTCAATTACTAGGGTGGCACTTACTTTGAAGTCGAAAATTTAAATATGAAATTTTTCTTTATCTAAGTATTTTATTTTTTATTATTGCACTAAAATGTCATTAATTGAACTGAAAAATACCACTATATTACATGTGACTTGAATTACAATACCTTGTTACAAAGATAGATTTTTCCAGTATTGATGGAATGAGATTTGTCATGATCAATATTCAACGGGTGCAGGTATGAAAAAGATTGATCTTTTAAATGGATAGGATCAAAAAAAAAAAAGTCAAGAAATGTAGTCTTTGGTGCCATTGGCGAAATATTTTTCCTTTTCAACATTTAAAGATCACAAATTGAAACATAAAAGCTGCTTACCATGTAAAAGAACATACCAGAGCTTGAGAAATCAAACTTATCACAAATGTGCGGCTTCGTTGTCCCATGATGTGCGTGCATTATCTGTAGGGACAGTGCCACGTTATTGTAATAACTGCCTATGACAAACTTAGAGTTAGACATGTCAATATGTATGTTAAATTTAAAATTCAAGTTTTGAAACTAGTATTTGATGAAATTAATTTTTTTTAAATATAGCAAATTAATGTGAAGGCGTGTGGCTTTAAAATCACTTATAAAAAAATCAGTTTTAAAACACACAAGAATTAATTAAGAAATATCCTGATTGTTCAAACTAAAAAGAAAAAAAAAAAAAGAAAGAAAAAAAAACAGTGTATGATGTGGTTAGCTTTAAGTCAATTATTAATAGATTGGACCAGTGGTGGTGCCAGGCAATATTTGTCTGGGGGACAAAATAAAATTTTGATTAAAAAAGATGCTTTTGTGTGTGAATTTCA